AAGAAGGAATGTATAGCTAAGAGGTTTCAGCCATGTTAATTGAACCCTGTTCCTCCTTTGGATTTTCTGTGATGTGAGCCAATCTGTTTCTTTATTGTTCAGGGCATTTCAAATTATTATTATCACTATTTTTAATCCTCACCTGAGGATATGTTTATTGATTTTGGAGAGAGGAAAAGAGAGAGAGGGAGGGGAAAGGGGAGGAAAGGGGAGGGGAGGGGAAGGAAGGGGAGGGGAGAGAAAAACATTGATGTGAGAGAGAAACATCAATTGGTTGCTTCCAGTATACACCCAGACCAGAAATTGAACCCACCACCTAGGTATGTGCCCTGACCAGGAATTGAACCTGCAACCTTTTGGTGTATGGGGTGATGCTCCAACTAACTGAGCCACCTGGCCAGGGCTTGAATTATTTTTGATTACTCGTAGCTGAAAGCATTCTGACTGGTAAATATGATAATTACTTGCTGACCCCGACTTGAACTTCTGAAAGGCTTCCTGGTAGTTGTACACTCTTACTGTAGGTTTAGGTGTGAGAAACTGCTTGTTTGTCTGCAGATTCATATATGGAACTTCAGAGTAAATTTGTATTTACAAAGGACTGCAGGGCTCGAATTTGAATTATAGGAATTAAGAAATTGAAAAGAAAGCACCTAAATTTAAACGTCTTTTTTTCCTGGATACCTTTATGCACAGCTAATGTCCTGAAGGAAGTGCATATACATTTTAAGACCCCCACAAGTTATTTTAGGTATGAGACCCGAAAAAGGTCCAGAAAGTAAGTTAGTGTCAGACACTGAGCACTTCTTGAGTAAATTCTGACAGGAGTGGAATTATGAAAGTGAAGCTTATAGTAAGCACTCTCTCATTTTCTTATTTCATATTCTAGAAACCGGGGATAGAGTTCTCTGACTCATAGCACTACAGACTATGTAGACTAGAAAATAAGGTAAAAGGAGAAGATAGTGTTCGTGTCTCTAAAAAGAAGCCTGATGAGCCAGCTTCTCATTTGTCCAGTTGATCAGCCAGTGGAGTGATTCTTACAGTGGTCACTGGTTTATGCTGGTGATTGTTGAAGGCACAACTGCAACACAAGTGTGTTTGGAGGGGATAGCTGAACCACAGTGTTCACTGCTTACAAAACTGGAAATTTCCAGACATCTTTAACACCTTTTCAAATTCAATTGTTATATACTCCATTGTAGGAAAATTCAGAGTAAAAGAAAGCAGTCCTGTAAAGGTATTAGTGTTTATCTTTCTAAGTATTTTTAAATGTAGACCTTTAGCATTTTAAGTAAAGTATTGTAGTCATACAAAAAGATATTCAGAATAGTATAATGAAGACCCACTTATACCCATACAATTTAAGGACATAACTACAAATACAGCTCCCTTGTGTAGCTGTCCTTTGCCCACAAGGTATCAGTATATGAAATTTGTCACTTATATTTTCTAAGTGAGTCTTCTACATGTATAAGTTAGCTGTACACATATGTGGTATTTGCACTGTCTGGTTTATACCATGTGGTTTTTAACTATAAGAGTTCTCTTGCTTTTTTACATTTATGTTTTTGAGGTTAACCCGTTTTGATACATGTAACTCTAGTTCTTTCATTTTTATTGCCCGTGGTTAATATAAATATTCCACAATTTGTGTAGTCATGCCCCTGCCAGTGGCTGTGTAAATATTGTAAGTAATGTTGAATTATAAAGAATGTTATATTGAATATTCTTGTACCTCTCTTCTTATATTGATATTATAATTAGGGTATGCAATTAAGCATAGATCTTCTGCCCTGTATAGCAGGTGCAACATCAATTTCACACACACATACACACACGCACACACTTTGCCAAAGTACAGTCACGCACTGCTTAACGATGGGGATATGTTCTGAGAAATGTGTGGTTAGGTGATTTCATCTTTGTGTGAACATCATAGAGTGCACTTACACAAAACCAAATGGTGCAGCCCTACTACACACCTAGGCTGTATGGTACAGCCTATTGCTCCTGTGGTATAAGCCTGTACAGCATGTTACTGTACTGAGTACTGTAGGCAATCGTAACACAATGGTAAGTATTTATACATCTAAACATTTAAACCTAGAAAAGGTACAGTAAAATACGACATACTGTACTTTTACATGGCTGGCAGCTCAGTAGGTCTGTTTACACCAGCATCATCACAAACATGTGAGTAATGTGTTGCACTACGATGTTAAGATAGTTATGATGTCTCTAGGTCAGTGATTTTTAGCTTCTGTGCTGCAAGAATTTTTAAAACATGCAATACCTGACTGTTTAGTCAGGGGCACTGACCTATTTTCCCTTATATTGTCAAAGAAAAAAATGACAATGGCCAACACAACAATAGCTGTCTGGTGTGAATAAATCAAAATTATACCATTTATTTGTCAGATTGGCAAAAAATATAATATGTTTTTTGGTATGCCACAGAATTTCAATAATTAGTTTATGTGCACCATAAGATGAAAAAGGTTGAAAATTGCTGCTCTAGGTGATAGGAATTTTTCAGCTCCATTATAATCTTAAGGGACCACTGTTGTACATGCGGTCTGTTGTTGATGGGAACATCATTATGCGGAGAATGGTTATATACTAGTTTATTTTCTCATCAGAAATATTTGAGAGATATTTAACTTTTTGCCAGTCTGATTTGTGTGCAGTGTTTTAATTTCCACTTCCCTGATTATTTGAGAGGTTGGATATCTGAGCGTCTATCCTTTCCTCCTCTTCCTCATTTTTGTGTGAAGTGCCTGTCATACACTTTTTCCATTTAAACAAAATCCTTTAACTTTACTGATTTGCAGCAATTATTTTAAAATTTTAGGAACCAAATCTTTTGTTTTAATATTTAATCACAATTTGCAACTGTCTTGCTTTGTTTTATGGTGTCTTTTTATGCACTTATATCTTTAAAAAATTTTCAGTGCAAATTTACCATTCTCTCCCTTAAGAAATCTTATGCTTTTTATGTCTTGTTTAAGAAGCCTCCTTCCACCGACCCCTGCTCCTGTTTGTAGATTGGGGCATCTGGAGGGCTGCTTGGCCATGCCTGTAAGAAAGCATGTCATTTCATTGCTGTCAGCTTAGAGCTCTTCTCCCAGATCCAAAAGTGATGCTTTCTTCCTTGCTTAGGACTTTTACTTTCATAAGGGAGGAAACAAAGCCTAACTCCACATTTCTCCTGAGAGGGTTCTATGCCCAACCCTAGAAAACCTTTGACATCACTGTGTTTTGGTTCATTGCTTGAATAACTCCATGCTTGTTTGTTCAGAGGAACATGGGCATCAAATGACTTGCCCAGAAACATGCAGCTGGTCACTGGGGGGTAGGGAGTAGCTACGGGTTGCAGTGACTCCAGTTTAGTTTTTTGTTTAGTCCTAAGCTGTTTCCTGCTGTAAAACTGTGTTTATCTGGCCTTTAGGTCACTTCTGGATATGCTTAGTGAACAGTTGGACTATTTAAAAGTTTGATCTCCCTTAAGACATAGGTATTGTCCAGCCTTAAAATGTGCGCAAAGGACTGCTAAAGAAATTTCTCTGCTCTGCATGAACTATGTGTTGTTGATGTATCTTTTCAAAAGTAAGAGCAAATTGAATGTGTTGTAAACATTTAAAATTTTTTAATTGATTAAGGGTTTTCTATAAAGGGAATTCCTGGTCAGAAAACATGATCAAAGTTGCTTAGAAAAAGGTAAGGAGATTTTCTTTCAGGGCTACCTTGAAGGCAGCTATGAGGAGGACATTTTGTTCTGAAGAATTGTTTTTATATTCTTGACAGTCATAAAGGCTTTATAAGCCTGAAGTGGAATCTGAAGCCAACGTGACAAATTAACATTAAATTAAAACACTTCTGTGAGGCCAATAAATGAACAAAATCTGAAAGCACATGGCAGATTGGGAGAACATCCATAGTAGTAAAAACAAAAATGTTTTAAAAAGGTGAATATACAAACTACCAGGAATCAAGACAGATATAAGAAATCCTGTGTTAAAATGGTCAGATATTATGAATTGCTGAATCACACACAAAAATATATACAAAGTCCAGCCAGTGTGTCTCAGTGGTTGAGTGTCGACCCATGAACCAGGAGGTCACAGTTCGATTCCCAGTCAGGGCACATGCCTGGGTTGCGGGCTCGATCCCGAATAGGAGGCATGCAGGAGGCAGCCGATCAATATTTCTCTCTCATTGATGTTTCTATCTAAACTTCTCCCTTCCTCTCTTTCTAAAAATCAATAAAAACATTAAATACATCTATATATATATATATAGAAAGGGCGCACTGCGAGGGCGAAACCCCTGCGCTCCAGCCCCGCCCATGCTTGCGTCAGGGCTGGCTTCCGCCCCACACGAAGGACCGCCGCGAGGGCGCGCCCTTCCCATTCTGGGAGGACCCCCGCCTTGGGGAAAAAGTGGGGAGCTGGGTTCGCCCGGGCGGAGCAGCCGGTACCCCCCCCCGCGGCCCTTTTGGGGGTCCGGTTTCGGGCCCCACCTCACGTGGTACCTTGGGGCGCACAAAACCTGG